GAGGTCCCTCACCCTTAACCTACAAAACTTATTAGGCGAGCAAGTTGAAGATGTCGACCCCTAAGCCAAACGAGTTTTGAGCTCTGCCAAAATTTCAGATGTGATCAAACTTCATTGAAAGAGATCTTCCTAGAATCAGTTTTTGACCGAAAATCTGAAAAAAATAAAAAAAGTAAATAAAAACGTACACAATAGAGGACTCCTTACGATAGAAGACCCCTCTTTCACGCATAATGCAAACACCACGTTAGAAGATCCTCTCCTTTTATCGATTTTTTGACCTAAGATATGTTGATTTTCGGGTTCAATCAAACACTAATCTTTGCGTTCGTCTGTTTCCTCAGATCGAATTCAGCCGGTCGGATCCTGCCGGATCCTTTTAATTCCGGTGATTTCCGGAAAGCGGACGCCCGATCGGAATCTGCTAAATTCCTTCGCGTTCCGATATTTTTTTCCTGCAAGATCCGATATCCGGAACCAAGCGGATCCGTTTATTTCCGGTGACCGGAAATCGACGGATCCTGTGATGTGCACTTCATTTTTTTTCCTTCTTTTCTGTGCGCATAATATATTCACCGTTTTGTTTCACGACAGGAGCACTTTAAATACGACACTACAGAAAATGAAAAATGAGAAATTGTCCTCCTCAAATTCTTAATAGTGTGAGTGATCGCTCACACTGTTCAACAGGCGTTTTATACACGTCCTCGCTAGTGGGTCCCTCCACTCTCTGAACGAACAGAGAGAAGAACCACTAGGAAGTGAAAGAAAAAATTGAAGACTATTTTTAACCCCAAAATTGGTCACATTCTTTCAAATCCAGCGAAATCCGATTCATCCGCCGGAAGATGTTGGATCCGGTCGGATCTTTTCAGACATCTTCCGGCACGGATTTCTGGTATGGTTGCTGTCGGATTTTATCTAATTTCGACAACTTCCAGGATGTTGGATTCTCACGCCGGAATGGACGACCTGGGTTACAGTGAATATACAGCTGCTAGACAAAAAGAAGTGTGTGCATACACAGCTTGTATACAGTGCGAACTCTCAATCAAGCGATTTAAGCTCAAGCTCTTACGCTTTAGACAACTGCCTTAAAAGTTATGAGCGCTAGGACGCGATATAAGATCCGGCCATTCCTTTAATGTAAAATCGCTTCAAAGAGGTAAAAAAATCATTCTTCTCGTTAATTTTTCGCAGTACTTCACTAGCAACTGATGGAAAGCTTAACCCTAGAGGTCTTCTTTTCCATGCATTAGCTACAACAAGAATCGTTTTTACACATGAATAAGTGTACTGCCGAATTTCAGGCCTCACCCTGGCATCAGGTAAAAGCCAAAGATATGTCCAAAATACAGCATGTGAAAAGAAAGCTATTTTTTCAATTAGAGGAAGATTTTCCGAAAAAACGATCTCAGATTCGTAATTAGCGTGAAATTCTGCATCGAATGACGTGCCTTCTGCAAAAAGTTGACACAAAAAAAATTTTCGATTTTTTCAGGGGACAGACTTTTGTTCAAAAGCTTTCGAAAAAAATGCAAATCTTTTTGTCAAAAGGAACTAAATATGCCATTTTGTTTAGAATTCTATGTTACTTCTAACTATATGATGTTCATACGCTTTGTACCTACTTTGAAATAGCTTCATATGTTCGTTTACTACGTTTATATGGACTTAAATAAACATAAACTGTTTTATCTTTAATAATTTCTTTTAATTGTTTACCAGCATTACGTGCTTGTTCTATACCTGTATCTGTTAAATCTAATTGTGAATCAGGTAGACGTGCAGAAATTGTTTTATCAACATTTCCTTGTGATTCACCATGACGTACTAATATTATGCGATATGGGCGACGAATTTTTTTATAGCAATAGAGACGATAATTAAAGTATAGGAGTAAGACATCGAACAGACGACTATAGATAAAAATAACAGTTAAAACGATAAATGTAAGAATATAATAGTAATTGTATAACATCTAGAAAAAATAGATCCCAAATACATGACTCATTCCGTCGAGCGCAAGTATCAGCTGAATATTTTGATGATAACCGAAACTCTTTTTTTTCTTCCAGTAGAAAGATGCATTTTATAGCGACTTATCATAGCCCATTTTCTAGAACATTTATTGATTCTCACTCTTACATACAACTTTGTCTCAAATGAAAGAGAATCTTGAATACGTCTGTAGATTCTAAAAAAACAAAAGCCAATTTTTGAGAGACAGATCTCTTAAGAGCTGAGTTTTATAGAGAACCTAACGAAGCCAAATATTGTCTGAAAAATCTTTCAAACATACTATTGAGTAGCCCACTAAAAACTTTTCATGTAAGCGCAAAATTCATCTCAATTTTTCTATAGCCGATTTTCCAAGGCCTATCTGTTGCGCATATCGAGTTCTTAAAACTTGACAGACAGTTCATTTTGTAGAAAATTGAATGGATTATTCAATCGTGTGTTTGAAAGAATTTTCATATAAAATTTAAGTTGAAAATTTTTTGTAGAAAATTCACTTTTTCAAAGACGTTTTTTCAAAAATTCTTCATCAGACAAACTTGCTTTTCCTAACGTCTATAGTATTTGAAAGTCTGTTTCATTTAAGATGAAGCTGAGAGGGTGAGAATCAGTAAACGTTATACAATTTAAGCAAAAATGGCTGTAAAATGCATCCTGCAGGTACTATAAAATACCTAGAATTGTTTTTGTGCAACTTCGAGAGAACTGACGTTTTTACCATTTGATCCACTCGAACTCTATACAAAATGATATAGGACGGACTCATTATTCACTCGGAAATATTATTCTGTAACTGTGATTCTTTTCACGTGGATTTACTCTACTTACTTTTACGGTATTTAAACAAACTAATCTTTTTTAAGCAGTGCACTATTGTAGTTTGCCTACTGTCTTCTGTATGCATGAATGACCTTCATCTATACTATTCTAAGCTCAAATGAAAGGAAAAGAAATCCTCGATCAATCAATCAGACTGAATGACTTATATTTTGAAAGTAAGGTAGAACGAGCAAGAAACAAATACAAAAAATAAATTGTTAGGCATTATAAGGCGACGGCGGTGAATCAACTATGCAAAAGCCAACTATACATTAAGGACACAAAAACAATAAGCTGAAGCTCGACTTGCACGATGTAACCAAGAAAGTTATTTACAAACAAGAAATGTTTGTCACTGAGTGTGATTATTAAAACCACGTGCAATTATCACACGAATAGACATGAATGCCTTTACTAGGTATGCACCAGTTTTAGTTAAAAAGCAATTAACTGTAACCAGACATGTGCGCAAACAAAAAATTTTGAAGAGAACACCCCGGCCTATCAGTCTATGAAAGAAAAGCAAAATAATCCTATTGGAAAATTTTTATAGACGGCCTAGTTTCTCAAAGATTTCCTAGGAAACCTGTGTCAGAAAACTGTTCTGAAAACAGTGTTGGTTATGAAAACATGCCTCCAAGTCTCCTTTTTCGAACGGCGAAAATCGGAGCTCTCTAGCTCTTTTCTATCAAAAGTTACTGTTGAATTAGAAGCACATGTCCGCCTGCTCTAGCAAAACTTGCCCACTGTGCACCATGCCGTTGTCTTAAAATTTTTTAAACGTGATATTTGTTATCAGAAGTCCGAGTTCTACTGATCCTGTTACTCTCGAACAATCCGGATAAAGTCGATGTAAACTTTGGTACACTTTCAAAAGAATCACCCTGTTGCATACCTAGTCTTTACCGATTATTGATTTATTGTTAATTTTTTTATATTTCTGTATTTATAGTTATTGTTGTTGTTGTTTGGATTGGGTCATTGTTATTATAGCCTATCTGAAACACTTGTTTTTTAAGCTTTTTCGATTTCAACTTTCGGTGTGACAAGGTGTTTAAAATAAAAAATCGATTTTTTTATACACGATTTTTCTCGAATATCTCGACAGGGAAAGAATATTTTTCGAAAAGAAAAATTAGAACCTGAGATAGGGTCTAAAGTATCTGTGGAGAAAATTTCAGCTCGATTGTATCATTTTTTCTAGGAATCGTAACTTGACTGAATGAAAACTGAACTTTTCCAAAAATCCCATTGAAGAGCCTGTCAGAAAACCCTAGACAAAAATACATTGAGTTTTTTTTCGGTTATTTCTGGTTTAGCACGATCGATCCTCCCAGGTTTTCAAGTTAACGATATTAAACGCAGTGCTTAGTGCATACTAGTTTTAACCAACTAAAATAGAAAATGAGCCGATTATTCTGGATTTGTATTGTCGATTCATTTTTTCACAATGAATCGAATGAACTTTTCAGAATAAAATATTGATCAATTTTTTACCACAAAAAAATACAAAATACCACTACAACCACCTTATCATCAACAAATGCAGCAATATCAACCGGAATACTTAAAAACATTCTGCGTCGCACATGTGTCAGACGTAGTTTTATGGTAAATTTTTTTATTTTTTCACATGTTTGATCAGCGAACGTGGTGATTGTGTATCAAGGTCGCAAGTATTTCATTAAAATTATGTAATTGTATGAGTGATTCTGGTGATTTTTGTACCGTTTCTAAAGAAAAAAATAACCCAAAATGTATTGAAACATAGATTTTCACGTATGTTCTATCAACTGACATCCTTAAAAAATGGTTTTTGACAATTTCTAAGCTGGGATCTCTAGAAATCTAGGTTGTCTGGAAATCCGTTGCTGAGCTGGTTCCCAGAAAACTGAACCAGCCATTCGATTCAGGGTGTCAAAATACGTATAATCGTATAATTTGAGGCTGTATGTGCTAACCATTACAATTCTAAAGATACTTTTGGAGGTGGGATAAAAGTTAGAGGTAGAACATTTTGCTGTATTTTTCAAATTTTTCAAAATTCTTCCGTTAGAAATAAGTTGAAGCCTAGGTATTTACAGCATAACTTGTGCTACCCATCGGACACATATGGTAAAAAAACGAGTTCTTAATTCCATGTAGTTCGGTCAGCTGAGAGTCAGAAGGGGGTTGGACAAATTCTATGTCACAAACCACTGGACATCAGTAAAATGTTAATTACTCAAGAACGAAAACAGCTAGCAACTTACGGTTTTCAACAATCTATAAAGTCTACTTTGATCAACGTTTTCATGGAAAAGCATTGGGCTTAAAGTGTTTATTGTGCGCAGTAGGCTCAAAAGGAGGTGGGACACGTTTTTCGAATTTTTTGCCAGGACCACAAATTCCATCGAAGTTGTCGCAGAAACTAAAAAGATTAGGCAACACTAAGACTGCAGATGGACACAGTCGATAAAGTACTGCATAAAAAGCAAAAAAGGTTATGTTTCGCGCGGGCCGGGGCCCCCCCGCGGCGGGGGGCGGGGTTTGGGTAGTGGTGCTGCGGGGGGGGGGGCCCCCGGGCGGGGGGGGGGGCGC